GGGCGCGGGCGCGGGCCGGGGGCGCGGGGGCGCGGGGCGCGCACCCACCTGTGTGTAGCCGTTTGCGGGACTGTGTGCACTCTGTGTACTTTGTGTGCACTGTGGGGATACGTGTGTATATGTGTGAGTGTGTCACACACACGGACACCCACCCACCTGTGTGTGTGTATGTGTATATGTGTGTGTCTCTATGTGTATACATGTGTCTGTGTGTGTCTGTGTATATGCATATGTCTGTGTGGTGTGTTTGTATGTATGTGTCTGTGTGTATGTGTTTATGTATATGTCTGTGTTTCTATGTGTGTGTCCTTGTGTATGTGTATATGTATATATGTATGTGTGTGCATATGCGTGTCTGTTTGTATGTGTATATGTATGTGTGTATGTGTGTATATGTGTGTCTGTATGTGTGTGTCGGTGTGTGTGTATGTGTATATGTATGTGTGTGTATATGTGTGTCTGTTTGTGTGTGTGTGTCTGTGTATATGTGTGTGCGTATACATATGTGTGTGCCTGTATATGTACCCACATACACACATACATATATACACATGTACATGAACACGTGAGTGCATCTGTGTGTATATATGTGTGTGTATATATGTGTGTGTATATGCATGAATGTTTGTGTGCCTGTATGTATGTGTGTGCATGTGTGTGTATATAAATACACCCATATACCCACATATGTATATAAACATGTACATGAACACATGCGTATGGGCATGCGTGTGTATGTGTGTATATATGCATGAATGTGTGTGCACCTGTATATATCTGGGTGCATGTATGTGTATATACACCCATATACACATAGACGTACTTATGCATGTACATACACACACACGTATGTGCATGTGTGTATGTGTGTGTAATTATGTGGGTATATATGCATGTGTCTGTGTGTACATATGCATGAATGTGTGTGCCTGTATATATGTGTGTGCATATGTATGTATACACACATACATAAACATTCAAATCTGTGTATGCATGTGTGTATACATGTGTATATATACACACATACACCCACACATATACACACAGACACATGCATGTGTTTATGTATGTGTATATATGTATTTGTGTATATATGCATACCATATATATATACACAAATATGCACATATACCATACACACATATACACACGCATACACACATCCATATATGGGTGGGTAATTTCCTCCTATGGGAGAGGTCAGATCTGGTATATGCATGCATATGTATCTGTGTGTGTGTGAATACATGTATACGTTTGTATATGTACATATATATGTGTATACATGTGTGTGTGCATGAGACCTCCTCCTGGTGAGGTCAGACCTATTCTGTGTGTGTTCTCTGTCTGTCTGTCTTTCTCGCACATATGCATTATTAAGATTGACCATTACAGACACTTTTCCCTTCCAACCCCAAGCAGTAGCCTTGATGCAGCACTAGTAGCAGTGATGCAAGGGCTGAAATGTAGCCTTGGCGAAGCGATGTGCTGTGGGGAGTGTCACTGCTCAGGCCAGGGAGGGACCAAGTCTCTTTGCTACGTGCTCTAGGGTCACAGGGAGTAGGTGGTGCCATCTCCGTATTTCCCCCGCCGGTCATTCTGGTCTTCCTGGTGCCATGTCCCTGTCCTCAGGACATAGCACTTGAAGAATAGTTCTACCTCTGGATCCTTCTTTTCCTGCTGCTTTTCAGGTGACACACTGGCGACAGGGGCAATTTTCCTTTTGGGTGACACATTGGGATTTTCCCTTTAGACTCTGCCTTTCACTTCCTTCACAGGGCAGGGCCACACTGGGTAAAGGCCCCAAAGGAACTTCTCATCACAGGTCACAGTCCCCAGCACCCGTTCCTCTGAACTTTGTTGCTTTTCACATCACACCTCATCCTGTTCCACGGTGGCATGCCTCCTCCCTGTTCGCCTGGGTATAAGTACCAGCTACGCAATTACTCGGGGTTCCTGCTCTACACTTCCTGCCTTTCTGGGGCAAGTGGCAGGATAAAACTAAGAGGAACAGATTGGAGGAAATTTTGGGGAGGAC